CCTTGACGTGTAGGTGAGCTCACGGGGCTCAAACCGGAGTGTTGCTAACACTGGCCCTAGCAAGAGCAGTGCTTCACAGAATCTACCACCGGATCGGAAACGCGACCCGCTGAGAAGATCCGGCGAGAAACTCAGTGGACTGTGTCTTTGGGTTAGTTTACTGCTTTGATAAATCGGTACGAGGATGCCTCTTATCTTTAGTACTTGGAAAGCTCCACTCCGGTGGAATGACATGCGTTGGTAAGTGGACATGACGGTGTCGTCTTAAATAGGTTTCAATGTATCCAGGAGCCGCTTAATAACGATGGGGCCATGGGCTCATCTATACTTAAAAACTACTTACTAAGTAAGTATATATAAAAATGAATTATTACTGTTCGTTAGTCTCGCTAAAACTCGAGAACGGCTGGACCGATTTGACTAATTTTGGTCTTGAATTATTTGTAGAAGTCCAGAGAAGGTTTAAAAGGTAGATAAATATGAAAATGCTCGTAATTAAATAAAAGTAACAATTTTGTTTTTCCTTTGATGTGTCTTACGGATTCCTTTTGTTTGTTTTAAGTTTATTTTATACAAAAGCTTAGGTCTTTTATTTATAGATTGAGGCACTACGAAGTCTGCCGGTCTAGTATTAAATAAAGAAATCGAACATACATTTTTACGGCTAACCTATATAGAAGACATTAAAAAAGTTTTCAATATGAAGCAGACTCCACATTGAATTGACTCACAAATCAATAGTACCGCGGAATTCGCTTACAGAATAAATAAAAAAAGCACTTGCTACTTTCACTGCGGCTCGGTGTCGTTACATCAATTGCACTCGACTTCAATTATTCAATCGTTTTGTAATCTTCGTGACCTAGACTTCGTTGCCGCGCTTCGAGAATTTGTTCGGTGACTTGATCGTTCGCTTCCACGGGAAAGAAAATACTTACGAGATATTATCGCCGCTGACACACGACCTGACGATAATAAATATTAAGTTTTAACTCATGGAGAGGTATGAAGTAAACTTTTAATCGAAATAATAATAATAATAAGCCCATTTTATTTCCAATCACAAAGAAAGAAAAAAAAATGTAATCGAAATAATAAACTGAATAAAAATTAATGATCAAACCGAATGATCATTGTTCTATACTCTTCGTATCTACTGTGTTACTTATAATAATTTGTATTCAAGTTTAACAATAGTTGCTATGTGTATGTGCATTACTATAATTCTCATATTGCATTTGTTATTTAAGCTGTTCTACACAAACTCATCACTTTTAATTATTATTCTCATAATCTTCTCGCAGGTCTGCTGGAAGAGATTTCTTAAAGAAATAAGCAGTGCCTTTGTACATAATTTTCGTATTACTCTGTACTATGTCTTCCTTTTTGTGTCTACATAAATAAAAAAATTAAAAAAAAATATTTTCTATCGATTTTCGTGAGTCGTTATAAATAAAAATAACATAACATAAAGTGTTTTATTTCCCGCTAAATGACAAATTAAGTCAATAATAAATAATAAGTAGGTAATTTTCCTGCTAAAATGCAAGGTAAAAAGTGCTCCTTGGTCGACCTCTACTTTTGCCCATCGATCCTTCCCATGTTCTGGTTTCTAAAGCCCGTCTTTTGTCTGTATATCTCGCAAGATGTCCTGCCCAACGCCACTTTTATATTAGAGCGTCTATCAACTTTGTTTTTTTGTAATGTGTTTGTGTGTTCCTAACTTTTGTATTTTTATTATCTTTAATATACTTCTTGCCATCCCTTTCTGACAGGTCGCTAATATTTTTTATTTTTTTTGTTTTTATTATCTATACTATAATATAATATAATATTTAAATGTATATAAGTATGTTTGTCGATCTCTGATACATACCACACAGAGAATTCTAAACGAAGTCCGGAAATTATTATATTATTATAACAATTATATTCATACGATGACTCATCTTCGAGTGTTTACAGTGATTTTATTAGTTTAAAACTACATCAAATTGTGTGAATGTGTAAATTTGTGCCATAATGTTTTACGTAGCGCTAAGCTTGGAACTATTTTCTATATAAATAAAAGGAATGTTTAATGTTTGTCTGTTTATTTTCTTCGCCGAACCATTCATCTTAGTGTGATTTAACTTAATGCAGTCATGCAAGCACTTCGGAAAAGGTTTTTGTTATAGTACCATCGAAACACGATAGGTGGCGTGCGAGTAGATTTAATTGTTGCGGCATACCCGGTGTTAATTACCAAAACTCATAGATACTAGAGTGCCGTCAGAAGCTTGAGATCGACAACTAAATTTCCTTGTATACCGGCGCTTAAAATTGGAATGCATGACTATTCGCAGCAGATATAGGCAGGATGGTGGTAGTTATCCGTGGGGGCACGCAATCATCATTATCCTGCCCTTCTCCCTGGGGTAAGCGTAATATTTTTTCTCCTTCCATACTCCTCTATCATATACCATTTCTTTGCTCACTCCCCTATTACACATCGTTTTTCAAGCAATCCATTCACTTCTTCTTAGGTCTACCTCTTCCTCTAAAGCCTTCCACATTCATAGTTAACACTCTCTTACCAACCTTACTGTCGTTTCGTCTCATCGCATGTCCATACCATCTCAAACGCGCACTTCTCAACTTCTCTGTCACAGGTGCTACTTTCAGACTCTCTCTACACATGCAATACGGCCCTCTAAATATCATTATTGGATCAGCGGTCCGCTCCCAACTTCTGCGGGTCATGGAGCTATCACACATACCCCGCGTGTCCCCTAAGCACGGAGGCCTGGTATAAGGTTTGTTCCTTGTCCGGAAAATAGGGTAATACGGATCTAATAAACCGGGAATTACGCTAGATTACCAGTTTGGTTTAAAATTATAATTTCAGTGAATTAAAAACTAAAATATTGCAAATGTAACTAATAAATCAAATAGTATCCTGCCGAAGATTTCCCGATCAGGATTTCAAGTTAAAGTAAAAAAAATATTGTGTCGTCACCGATCCTTGATAATTGCGCCAATGGTGAAGTTGATAGAAATTACGTCGTAAGATTCCGTTATGTAGATAGATACGGGTCGTATAGTGACGATCTGTGCAAGGCAGTTGGCAATGACTGGATGCGTAGAACCGAAGGTCAGGTTCAGTGGCGAGCTTTGGGGGAGGTATATGTCCAGCAGTGGGCTGATGATGAAGGGTCAATCAAATAAAAACGGCTATTAGATCACAAAATCACAGAGGCCGGTCTTATCGGTAAAATAAATCTCTTCCAGATTCCCGTTGAGTGAATAAGAAGATAAAACAAAGAAGCATCAAGAAAATTACTGTACACTTGAATCAAAATACTTAATCAACGTAATGAAAAATATTAAAATAGTGATTCACTTTTACTTTTCTAAAATGAATTTAGAAACACGAGAATAATTCATATTTCATGAAACCTGTTCCTAAATTGCATAACTGTTTAAAATACGCGACTCAGTTCTGTTTGTACGCAAAACATTTTCACTGGGTTTTTTTTTTTTTTTTACTAGGTAGCGTATGTAGTTACCGACCGGCGTCTAAGTGGTAACTGAAGCCCATATTGACCAACGTGAATAAACAATTAATCTAGTGATGTGACTGCGATGTCTGAATTGTACTGTAGGTATGCGGTCTCCTCCTCGCGTCGTTTTCCCCATTACTGAGGGTCGAGACTCCCCCGCTGCATCAGTTTCTCCCGTACGACTTCCCTCCATCTGCCGCGATCCTTTGCTTCATGAAGGGCATTGTGGAAATTGATGCTCAGAGAAGATCGTATTTGGTCCGACCATCTCGTGGGACTGCGTCCTCTGGGACGTATGCCATCCTTTCCTTTCACCTTTCCTGTCACCATCAGCTGTTCAAGATTGTGACCTTCTTTACGAGCAATATGTCCGAAGAATTCCCGCACGTATGCGGTAGAATCCAGGAAATCCGCTAAACGTGGTTCCGTCAAGACAACAGTTGTGAAAACTCAAATAATCCATTAGGAGTTGAAAATAATTTGTGTAAAATAATGGAAATTTGAGAAAAAAAATAATATTGTTGTTGTTAGAAATTGTGGCGTGAAATAGGATGTATTAACACAGAAAGCTATACGAGCTCCGTCCGGAGATTTCCGGTTGCGTCTGATGACCTCGAATTTTAATAAATTAAATATAGCCACGTCTTTAATCGAGAATAGTTTATACAATAACGAACAAAGTGGAAAAATAAATGAATTAAAAAAAAAAACAAATATAAACAAATATTGTTTTATTTAATTAAAAAACTGGTGCTAATATGATTTTTACAGGTGGTAGGACGTTTTGTGAGTCCGCACGGGTAGGTACCACCACCCTGCCTATTTCTGCCGTGAAGCAGTAATGCGTTTCGGTTTGAAGGGTGGGGCAGCCGTTGTAACTATGCCTGAGACCTTAGAACTTATATCTCAAAGTGGGTGGCGCATTTACGTTGTACATGTCTATGGGCTCCAGTAACCACTTAACACCAGGTGGGCTGTGAGCTCGTCCATCCCACGAAGCAATAAAAAAAAATGATCTCCATAGTTTGAGCATTCAAGTGTGATCGATTTTGAAAATGAGGGAATAAAATTTGAATCTGATTCCAGGCGCGTTTAAATATTACGAAACTCATTTTCACCTAGCCGGTACATGCGTGTGGAGTTACGAAAAAAAAAAAAAAAAAAAAACTACACATCAAACAATCACACTTTTTCTTTCACTTCATTTACACCAACATCACAAAACGGCGTCGTAACATTGCTTTTGCGCGTCGTAAAAGCAAACTTCGCTTTCTATGGGCAAATATTTATTTTTCTACTTATCCTACTACACGTTCGTATGGTTTGTCAGTTAGCGGCAAACGTCAAACATCATCTACGTCACACCGTCAGCGAAGTGGGGGGTGTCAGGATAAAACACAACCATTATACCGGGGTAACATCACAGCCTCGCCAGCGTCGGCACTTGAAGTACGGATCGGGAAAGATACCATCGAAAATGCTGAAGTACATCGCGTTATTAGCCTTGACGGCGTCAGTGCAGTGCAACCCGCTGAAGGAGAACAGCATATCGGAAAATTTAGTGGGAGTTATATCGGAGTGCATCGAAAGAGATACATCTTTGTGTATTAAGGTGATAATTGTGCTCTAATGTGTTGTTACGAGATGACAAGTGACACGTGCTGTGATAAAACGGATTTTGGACACTGAGATGCGGTTCAATGACCAAAATTTATAGATAAAACGCCCACATAGCAAAATCACACCAGACTCTATCATGGAAATCTCTAGTGCTTAGATTAGACCCACTTTTCTCTTTAGCCGAGAACCGTCTACTTGATTTAAAACAATTTATTCCGTAGGTACTACAAAAATATACACATCTAATTCTACAAATTCTCATTCCAGGAAAAAGCTCTTAAGTTTACCGAACGACTGGCCTTTGCCAAGGACATGAATATCTTCGATGGCATGTCTCTGGTCAACATTGGATCGGCCCGATCTGCCCGCAGCTACGAGCCTTTGGCCGAGGACCCAAAAGCTCGGGAATTGCAACTAGACGAGAGGATAGCCGACAATATGGGTGATTTCTTGGAGAACCACGTTATTCAACTTCGTTTGTCTGAGCCTGAAGCCGAGTCTAGGAGTTTGGATGATGAAGGTATGTTGTGACATCAGGTAATTTTGGTCGAAATGAAAAATTTATTAGCCATTCATGGTTATCTAACGTAAAAGAAAATAATGTAAAATCTATAAACGCAATATTCATATTTGACTTTCGTAAATAAGTAAAAAGTTTTCTTATTCGATTTTGACCATATCGAACCCAAAAATCGTGTGTTGTCCAATCCAAATAAATTACAAATAATTCCTCACGAGCAGAATTGGTTAAAAAAATTGTAAAAATAGATGACCACTCTCACACGGAGTTAATTTTTTATTAAAATCTTCTAAATTAAAAAGCATTACATTTTTATAAAATGCTAAAATTATTGTAAACTAAAATAGTGTTTTGTTACGAACAAAAACATGTAACTTATAGCACATTACCATAAACGACGCCCTGTAACAATACATCGTATGTGTCACCCAAGAGACAAACAAGCGGTTTTCTCTTGTATACATATTTACAGTGAAACGAATCAACCTTAAAAGCTTTTGAAAGCCCTTTTGTTGTTGTGCTTTGTATTCGTAAAAGGTTTTTGTGGCGGCTTTTATTGTTTGAAGCCTTTCAAGCTAACATGATAATTAGAAAACTGTTAGAAAACCCTTGATTTATTGTTTTTTTTAATCAAGAGCTAAGCAAAATGGCAATTAGGCAACTATTAATACGGTACAAATGTTTTGGTTTAACTTTTCAATTGGTTCAGCTTGTAAGAGGACTGAAATAAATAAATAAAACCCAGTGTCAAGAAAACATCGAGACTCATGGTGACTTTATCTTGAAACATTAGGTCGTAGGGTTAATACCATTGAATAACGTCTAACATCTCTTATTGATTACAGCTCGTGGCAAGAAAAAGAAGAAGCTGAAGCAGCTCCTTCCTCTTCTTCTCCTTTTGAAGTTGAAGCTGGCAGCTCTGATCCCACTTTTCCTGGGTATCATTGCCTTTGTTGCTGTTAAAGCAGTGTTCCTTGGCAAGATTGCCTTTGCAATGAGCGCTTTCCAACTCATCAGAAAACTTCTTAACAAGAACCAGTCTTCGGGAAGTTCCAGTATCTCATATGCTGCTCCTCATCACCACGAGGAGCATCCAGGATATTCCTATGAACCTGCCAGCAGCGGAGGCTGGGGTAGACAAGCCACTGACGCCCAATCATTGGCGTATGCCGGTCAATTGAACCACTAAGATCGAGATGTGTGCTTCTGTATTTATTTGCGTAATGTGTCTTATTTATGTGTGACTGCCATTGTAAAGTACCTCATTAATTTATTTATTTACAAAATAAATAATTGGAAAAATATATATTTTTTTAATGTTGCATTAAACTATCCATTTCTCTGTTCGTGTATTGACCCCAGTTTCACGAGTTATTTTAGTGAGTTTTATACTTTTTAAACTTAAACCTAAGCTTGCAATTGGCACTTTTTGGTTGGTACCATCAATTGTTATACATCTGAACTGTGGGACAGTAGAAAAAAGGATTTTTAATTAGGATATTTTCTGAGACGAATGAATTTCTAATATTCCTAATTTGAAATATTCCTATTGCTTTTTAAAATAGTGACTTCCTAATTACAATATAACGTATAATTGTCAATCCTAAATACAATTCCTGGACCATATACGGAAATATTTAGCATATACTAACACACTTATAAGCATTTAAGAAAGTCGGAGAAAGTCCCATATATCATCAAATTTAAACCCACATATTGCGTAAACCCGAATCTCGCAAAGAAAAGGGAAACAACATACAAGATAAATACATATATTAATATTAATGAAACAATATGTGTGTCACGCACTTTGGTTGAGAGTTAGTTTCTATATAGCATTAGATTAAAATGTTAATTCGTGTGCCAAAGTGGGGGGATATCCGATAAATAATCTGTTATGGTTGTGTCCACCATCACAGTTCATTTGGTGTTTGATCAGCCCATTGGAGAGATGAGGTTCCTTATATTATTTTTGAGTGTGGTGGCAGTGGTGTATTGTGGTCCAGTTAATCAAGACGAGAACTTGGCTAGGGCTCTCTTGGAGCCGTTTGTGAAGTGCCAAAACAGTGATTACTATCTTTGCGGAAAGGTACGTGATGTGATAGTGATGTGAAGTGAAATAGAATTTTGTGAAAAATAATTGGGATTTCTAGTAAATTTTTGTAGCAGACTTTTCTTTTGCCAAAGTTTACCTATTTGAAAATAATTATTGGGGCACATTGATCAGTTTACTTAACATGTTTGAATAGTATACATTTTCGGATATTTCGGATTGATGGAATATTTCCGTGAACTATTTCAATTTTTTCTTGTCACAAGCCATACTAGATATGGTGTTCACTAGTTTTTTCTCCATTTTAATAATGTTTACATTACTGTGTGCTACCATTAGAACTAAATTCAGTATATTCGATCTAGACTATACGACATAATAAGTTACTATAACTATTTCTAATACATGTTGTAGATGCTAATGAATAAATAATTATTTGAAATTATATCGAATTAATACTATGGTAATCTTCTGCAGGAATATGTCCTGAAAGCTGTCGAGAAGATCCGAACCTTAAGGACACTGAACATCATCGATGGCATCACCCTCCTCAACAACAACCCTAAGGAATCCAGGAGCTTGGAGACCCTCTCTAGTGAGCCAGCTGTTAGAACCAAACAAGTCAATGAGAAGCTCTGGGAGACAGCCTCTGAAATACTTCAGTCAAGCGAACTTGAACTTAGCTATGGACCCGAAGTTGAAGAATCCAGAGCTATTGATGACGGTAAGCAGAGTTTAGATCTTAAGACTTAAAGTCGAAATTCTACTGGAAAGCTTTATAAAAAGAACAAATTAGCTTAGTCAAATCAACTGTACATCTAAGAATCATTTCTCTGACTGATTGACTTTTTTTTTATGGCTTAGATAGGTGGACGAGCTCACAGCCCACCTGGTGTTAGTGGTTACTGGAGCCCATAGACATCTACAACGTAAATGCGCCACCCACCTTGAGATATAAGTTCTAAGATCTCAGTATAGTTACAATGGCTGTCCCGCCCTTCAAACCGAAACGCATTACTGCTTCACGGCAGAAATAGACAGGGTGGTGGTACCTAGCCGCGGGGACTCACAAAAGGTCCTACCACCAGTAAAAAACTACTGGCTGATTCCTCAACGGAAAGCCCAATCCAATGGACCTACGAGCTTGAAATTTTGGCAGTTTATAGCATTTATATTGTAAACATCTCTTAAAGAAGAATTTTAGGAGATTTCACTTCTGAAAGCGTAGATATGGGAGAACTCGATGTACACATATAACATGGTTATTTTCTAAACAAAAGAAAAGTTTATATACCTGTTTCTAGTTAAAAATAAACGTGGGCGTATGTCTTAAATTTAATTCAAAATTTCGCCCCTGACAGGGTGAACTAAGGGGTAGTTCTGTTACATCTTATTCACGTGCAAATGACAAAACGTGAAAGGTCAATCAACAAGACGGATTTGTAGAAAGATCAAAATTTTTAGAAAGCTGATTTAAATATTTAAATTAATTTGGTCATAAATTTGAATTAGCTATCGAGAACGAGCTTTCTCTTGTTTTGGAAGCTTTTCTATTTATAAAAGGCGTTGACCGGGCCACGACTGATAAAGTATTCTGGAAATATTTGTGCAGCAAACGTTTTTGTTATTCTGTTTCTTGTTCTTTCTTTCTTTTGTTATTCTATATTCGATTTTTTGTTATTCTATTACTACTTATTTGTTTTTTCCGCTTCATTCTTAAACTAAAATTGTACTGTCTAAACTAAGATATAGGATCAAGTTTACAATGACATTGGTTTTTATTGACTCATATGAACAAAAATGCCATCATTAGATTGTTTTAAATTGTATGTAATTTAACTAATTAGTACAATTACTTTGATCAAGATATGCTGATAAGCATTGCTATCTCGCACGGGTACCTTTCATACCGGTTTGAAGTGTGAGACATCTGTTATACCATTCGACTTTATATCTCAATGGGGGCTCTAATTATCACCCACCTACGAGATCGTTAATTCGTTAAGATCGTTAAGTCGTGTGGTAAAAAAAATCTTGTCATATGAACAATAATATGAATGAACATGTTCTCATCGCCTTGATGATATAAAAATTAATGAAATTCTTCTCTTTTTAGTTGAAGAAGGTCGCGGCAAGAAGAAGAAGTTGAAGAAGAAGCTGAAAATGCTCATCCCTCTTATGATCCTCGCCAAAGCCAAGGCCATAGCTTTAGTCGTGGCGGCACTGCTCATCATAGCTGCTTCGATCTTCAAGATCGCCCTCCTCGCCAAGATTGCTTTCATTATCAAGATCATTGCAATCATCAAGGCATTGTTGGCCAAGAAGCACGCTCAAGAGGAGGTGTCCTGGGAATCCCATGGCTGGGAGCCACATGCCGATCCTCATGCTCATGTTGAACATGGCCATGGTTGGGAGGGAGGCTGGTCTAGGTCTAGAAATGAGGCCAACAACATGGCCTACTCTGCCTATAAGAAGTAAATATTTTTTTCGCTCGTGGATACTTTAAAATTTGGTCGTAAATACGAGCAGTCCACGAGTAGCCGACGGTGATGTATTACCGTCGCTTGAACTGAGCACTTGTCATTAAGTGTGACGTCTACCACTGAAACGAAATCGTGTCTTCTTAATTTATGAGAGTCTGTATTTATTCGTATGAATGTTTTCATGTTCTGTTTATTTTTATTAAATTATTTATCTGTACATAAATAATATATGTTTGAACTGGTAATTTATTCAATGCGATGAACCAAATATAGATATTATTTTATATGATTTATTGTTTATTTAATTATTGTTTTTTTTATCTCATTGTTTTTTTTTTCATCTTGTTTGATCTCTACTTTATTCATTTATTTAGTTTTTTTTTATATATATATATTTTTTTTTATTTGTGTGTATGTAATTTATGAATTAGTTAATAAAAATCAGCAATCATTTTTTTGTTTTACTTCAAATACATGTGTGATCTGAAATGTGGATTTTTAAAATTAAATCATAAAAGGCCTACAATATTACTACATATACTATACAACTACAGACAAACCTGGATAAGCGAGAGTTCAAGGGAGCACAATCTCATTCTCGCTTATAGAGGTTTCTCACTAACCCGAGTTTCTCGCTAATGCTCCCTCTGAATTTCATTTCGCTGTTCTCCGGATTCAAACGCATTCACTATTTTAAGTTTATCACTTAATGACAGTACTTTAATTTTCCGTTTCGACATGATGCAGAACAGAACTTTCCTTCGCAATTGATCATCGATAAACTGATTAAGTCCGACAAACAGGACGGTACACAGGCACACATGTCCATTCGAAAATAATGCAATACAATAACAACGTTATTTAGTTCCACGAAATAGAATAGGTTCAATATTGACGAGAAAACAATACAAAAACAATGTTAAGAAGTTCCACGAAAGTTAAGAATGAATCATAAAATAGCAGATGTTAAATTTGTAATTTGTTTTGTCATTTGTTCCTCCTAAATAATATAAATAAATAAAGCTCGACTGTCGCTTATAGAGGTATGGATAAGTAGCAGTCTCACTTGCGGAGGTCCATGACGGAAAAATGACTCTCTTTTACCAAGGTACCAAAGTAAAAGTGAGTCTAGAGTGGTGGTCGAAGCGGTTGGCCAACCCCACGTAGGGTCTACGGACCGTCGAGGTAGTTTACACGGTCTTTGATGACTAGGTACTAAGATCATGCGAACCCTTATTTTCTCCATATTCATGTACGCTTCTGAGACGTGGACCCTCAAGGCTCGGACCCGATCGAGAATTGACGCAATTGAAATGTGGTGTTGGCGCAAAATGTTGGGCATATCATGGACGGAGCGCCGAATAAATATGTCAATTCTCTTGGAGCTAAACATCAAGACCCGTCTGTCTACGATCTGTATGCAGCGTCTCCTCAAGTACTTCGGACACGTGACCCGACGAAATCCTGACAACTTGGAAAAACTAATAGTTGTATGTCACGTGGAAGGAAAAAGAAGTCGAAGAAGATCGCCAACCAGGTTGACGGACATTGTCAAGGAGACCACAAACACAAGCATCCCGGGTGCCATTAAGCAGGTCGAATGCAGGCAACATTGGAGGAAGCTGGTGCAAAAACTAGACCAAGGTGGTGACGACCCTCAGTAATGAGGAAGCGACGAAGAAGAAGAAGATGACTGGGTGAATCGTGGCCGAGGACGCCTCACCTTGCGTCTGGTGCAGGTGCTGACTGAGCACGGATGCTTCGGGAAGTACCTGTACTGGATAGGAGCTGAGCCGACGACGAGGTGCCACTATTGTAGACACGACCTGGACACGGCGGAGGTGCAGCGCCGTGTCCTGGTCGCAAAGATAGGACTGAACTTGTGGCTGCCTGGCATCGTGGCGTCGACGCCCGAAGGCGACGAGTCCTAGAAGATTATGGTAAGCAAAGCGCTTCCACATATCCCACATCCCAGTTTTTTGCCGAATCTTCTCAGTAGGTCGCGATTTCGATCCGGTGGTAGATTCTGCGAAGCAATGCTCTTGCTATTGTCAGTGTTAGCAAATTCTCTTAGGTTAAGCCCGTGAGCTCACCTACCTGTTCGGTTGTAGCTAGAATAGGTTCTTAGGCTACCAGCTAGAAGGTGAAATAAAATGGAAATTGTTATGTAAATTCAGTCAGTCAATCAGTTCGCAATTAGATGCTGTGCTGTGTGTTAGCATTTACTTTATAGGCCTTCGCTTATTATCAGGTAGGCCATGAGATGAACCGATCTATAGCAAACAAATGACATTAATTAATTCTGAAAATTACTTCAGAAACTTTGATACATTATTTCTCGCTAGTGCGCTAACGCGGAAGCCGCTTAGATACTAATTGAAGGTGGAAACTTCTTACGAATTTCGAAACATTTTTATATAAATCAGTTATCATTATTACCTATTTTCGAAGACATTTATATAGTGTCCCTTCTATTGGTAAATAATAAAGCTTTATATTTGTAAAGCTCCTGGTGTAACTTTAATAGCTAAATCGCGCGAAGGCGTCTAGTGAAAGACTTTCTCTGTGTGAAAGTGCCTCATTTTGCTCTTTTGTGTATTGCTATTTGAATTTCGAAGTTTTGAGGCTGATAGAGAATGATAGATCGTTTTTGGCACGACTCAACTGACTCTGAGATTAGGCTATCTCCACGATGTTTGCTAAGCACTGTCATAATTATCATCATGATCAGGCCGCAGATCTCTGCTGGGTATACGTCTCACTAAAAGTTCACTTTAATAACCAGTCTTGAGAACATAATTCCATTCAAAGTATGTTCGAAGAATCCTACAATACACTACGGTAGACTATAAGGCAATTCTACCTCCATGTCCTTTTCCATGGAGTTCTCTAGGGAGTTTCATCTTAGTTCGTAGTTTTTGTAGTTCTCAAACGATGGTCGGACCAAATAGCGGAGGAACTGAGGGTACCTGTCAGCGACGCACTCCGCTAAGCTACAGAACGGGGTCGATGAAGACAGCTGGTTGACGGAATTGGACGGAGTCACGATCCTCAGCAGTGAGGATCCGATTGAAGAGAGAGAGAGATCCCCATGTCCATACGCGATGAGAGAAAGGACTATTAGTTTTGCAGTATAACTGTACTTGAGACCTTAGAGCTTATATCTCAAGGTGGGTATCTCAATATCCCAGGGTGTGATAGCTGCCTGCCGGATATCTGCTTCACACAGTGTGCAGTCAGGCGGGAGCTCCGACTCCTGGACGTCCATAAGTCGAGTGGGCCAGACGGCATCCCCGCAGTGGTTTTGAAAACGTGCGCCCCTGAGCTGACACCTGCGCTAACGCGTTTGTATCGCCTCTCTTATTGCACTAACAGGGTTCCGTCTTCATGGAAGACCGCCCACGTCAACCCTATCCCCAAGAAGGGTGACCGGTCGGACCCATCGAGCTACAGGCCTATCGCGATAACTTCCTTGATAAGCTGATCAGTGACCGACAGTACGGTTTCCGTCACGGTCGCTCAGCTGGCGATCTTCTTGTATACCTTACTCACAGGTGGGCTGAAGCCTTGGAGAGCAAGGGCGAGGCTCTTGCTGTGAGCCTTGATATCGCGAAGGCCTTCGACAGGGTCTGGCATAGGGCACTTCTATCGAAGTTACCATCTTACGGAATCCCCGAGGGTCTCTGCAAGTGGATCGCTAGCTTTTTGGATGGGCGGAGCATCACGGTCGTTGTAGACGGTGACTGTTCTGATACCATGACCATTAACGCTGGCGTTCCACAAGGTTCGGTGCTCTCCCCCACGCTTTTCATCCTGTATATCAATGACATGCTGTCTATTGATGGCATGCATTGCTATGC